TAGATATGCAATTTTTGAGGTGAAAATAAACATACACATCCCATTGATTATATTAATATTTTGCCTATGACTTAAGCACACACAAAAAAACTTAAAATACAACCAACATATGCATTCAAGATACTAATATAGAAAGTTTTCTTTAAACTGACGTGGTTAGAAATACCGAGATTGTATTATCTGTTTTCCTAACAATGTGATACTGGAAACATCATTGAACAATTCACAGAAACTCCGAAAAAGAGAATCAGAGCTTTTTTTTTTTTAATCTGTCCAAATTATTGCAATTTCATAACCTTTTGATAAGAAACTTGTTTTTGCTATGCAAAGGAGACAGCTTGGGAATCAAGAAACTCTTTTGTCTTGATCAGTACCAAAGGAATGATCTGTAACATTCATTTACCCTCTCAGGCTCCACATGTTTTCTTTCAAATGAGGCAGAAATAGATAATCTCATAAACCCTTCCTGCGCTACCACGATGTGATTCTAAGTTCAGAATAAAAAAAGAATAAAAAAATACCTAGATACTAAATACATGATTATACACCATATACAAGTTCAGGATTTTGAAAAAAAGAGAACAAAAGAAACGCAGGCCCTGTAGGGAGTTAAATAAAACTTCCTCCTTGGCGATCATTTCCTCAGGCCAAACACCCATAGAGCTGTGACATTTCTGTGCAGCTTGCCTCACTCACCACTTAGGGCAGCACCTCTCTTGCTGAAACCTGGTCTTGATCTTCCACATTCACAGAGCTGTGAAAGTTTCAGATGTGACACCTGAAAGTATGCTCATTTAGGGCGGGGAGATCAAAAATGGCTTCTGGCCTTGGAAATCTAGAGTCTGTTTCTTTGGAGGTTTCTTCAACTTCTCTTCAGAGCTCTGGTGAAAGGTCTGAGGAAGGTCTGAGGGGTGTTTTCTTCTAGGTGGGTTTCTGATTTGTGCCGTTCCTTCCCTTTTATCTCCCTAGAATTGCTTTGTTCCGAAAGAAATGGAACTGGGGCCTAGAGGACAAAATCATTTAACTGGAATCTTCATACAAGAACCCCAATCTATCAAAAACTAATGATGTAATGTATGGTGATTAACATAACAATAAAAATTTAAAAAAAAAAGACCCCCAATCTGACTCTCCCAAAGGTTGCTCCCCAGGCTAGACCTTCTATAGGCTCAAATCAGAACTGCTGGGCACACAAGCTGGGAAAGTTGGGAGGGGCCCATATTCTCGATTATGGACTCTGACCCCAGGGCTCCCGAGGGCCAGCAAAGCACGTGTGCCACTTGGGGGCTGTGAAGGAACCCAAGGCTGGTTTCCAGGTAGAGTGGCCTATTAGCAGCAACAAGAGATTTGGACAACAGATCTGACCTTTAAACCCAACCCCCTCACCTGCTGGCTATGTGAACTCGGGTGAATCATCACCTCTCCAAGACTAGTTCTCTGCCAAACAAATGGTTGTGAAAACTGAACAAAATGCCAGCTGCTTTATCATTAACCACCACGCACCACTAGGCTCACATAAGCCTTCGCTCTCAGCGCAGAGAAGCCAGCTGAACAGCCGGGCTTCCCCCAGGGGGCGCTGATGGGCGAGGACCCGAGCCGCCTTGGCAGGCTGGGCGCACTCGCCCAGGGCCGCAACCCTCCAAGGCAGCCGGTGGCGGGGCCTCAGGGTCTGAGCGCCGGGCCCCGCTTTCCCCGCGGGCGGCCCGCCTTTCCCGGCCTCGGAGTCGGGAGCCACCCCCGACGCGCACGGGGTCCTCTCAACTGCGCTCTACCCGCCACGTGCCGCCGCGACCCTCACGGCTGCGTGAATGCGCGGCTCCGTAAGGAGACGCAGACGCACCCCTACCTTCTACCCGACGCAGAAGAGCTATGGGAGCGCGCCGCCGAGCGTACGTGCGCAGCGGGGCCGCGCGCGCAACTTCCCATCAGCCCTGGCGGACAGTGTGTGCCGCAGGCGCTCCGGGAGACCCGGGGCAGTTCCGAGAGATGGGCGGGGCGGCAACAAGGGACGCGGAGACCAGAGACCAGCTGGCCTCGGCGTGAACTGCGTCCGAACAGCAGGGCTTCTCCCAGGATGGGAAAATAATGACGAATGTTTCATTATCATTCTTCTTACGATGCTAGACTGCAAAGATTACATAGTGATACACGAAAATTTTAGGAAAATCAGAAAATACACACAACCAAAAGAAAGAAACAATGGACACAACTTCACCTCCCGCTCCCTGAGATTTATGTGCTTAACCGTTAGACACACAACTTTCTTGTAGTTTGCAGAAATGCGATCATTATATGCATAATTTTTATCACTATCCTTGCAGAAAACAATTTCTTGTAAAATATAAAACCAATATTTTTTTCCAATGATAATAGAAATAAGTTCCTTTCACAATCGCATCAAAAATTGTGCCAAATAGGGGCACCTGGGTGGCTCAGGCATCTGCCTTCAGTTCAGGTCATGATCTCGAGTCCTCGGATCTAGCACCGCATAGGGCTTCCTGCTCAGTGGGGAGTCGGCTTCTCCTTCTGCCCTTCCCCCCGTTTTCTCTCTTTTTAAAAATTGTGCAAAATAATTATTCGCGTTAATAAAAGAAGTAAACTTGTAAAAAAAAAAAAAAAGACATTTTGTGTAGAACATTTAAAAAAGACTTGAGGGCGTCTGGGTGGCTCAGATGGTTAAGTAACTGCCTTCGGCTCAGGTCATGATCCTGGAATGCCCGGATCGAGTCCCGCATCAGGCTCCCTGCTCCGCGAGGGGCCTGCTTCTCCCTCTAACCCTCCCCGCTCTCATGTACTCTCTCTCTCTCTCTCTCATTCTCACTCTCTCAAAATAAATAAATCTTTAAAAAAAAATAAAAGACTTGAAAAGGTAGATAGTCCCATGATTTTCACAAAAAGACTCAATCTTCAACAATATTCAGGGGCGCCTGGGTGGCTCAGTTGGTTAAGCCTCTGCCTTCAGCTCAGGTCATGATCCCAGGGTCCTGGGATCCAGTCCTGCATTGGCTCCTTGCTCAGCAGGGAACCTTCTTCTCCCTCTGCCTGCTCCTCCCCCTGCTTGTGCTCTCTCTCTCTCCCCTCTCTCTCTGACAAATAAATAAAAATAAAATCATTATAAGCAGTAGAGGGAAAAAGGATGTAAAGGGAGATAAGATTTCTTCACTCAAATAAAATGAAAACAGTAAGTTACATATATATATAATATAGAGAGCAATCAGTAAAATAGCCATACAAATAGATACACTCAAAACCCTATATATAGGGCACCTGGGTGGCTCAGTTGGTTAAGCAACTGCCTTCGGCTCAGGTCATGATCCTGGAGTCCCGGGATTGAGTCCCGCATCAGGCTCCCTGCTCAGCGGGGAGTCTGCTTCTCTCTCTGACCCTCTTCCCTCTTGTGCTTTCTATCTCTCATTCTCTCTCTCTCTCAAATAAATAAATAAAATCTTTAAAAATAAAAAAATAAAAAACCTTAAAAAAAAAAACCTATATATAGGGCGCCTGGGTGGCTCAGTTGGTTAAGCGACTGCCCTCGGCTCAGGTCATGATCCTGGAGTCCCTGGATCGAGTCCCACATCGGGCTCCCTGCTCGGCAGGGAGTCTGCTTCTCCCTCTGACCCTCTCCCCTCTCATGTGCTCTCTCTCAGTCTCTCTCTCTCAAATAAATAAATAAAATCTTAAAAAAAAAACAAAAACCCTATATATACATCAAAATGGAATTCTAAAAAACGTTCAAGTAATCCACAGAAAGGGGGGCAATACAAAGAAACAAGAAACAAAAGGAACAAATATAAAACAAACTAAAATGGCAGACTTAAATCCTAACATATCAATAATTACATTAAATCTAAGTGGTCTAATAATGCCCATTAAAACACGGAGGTTGGCAAGTGGATTTTTAAAAATATAACCCAACTATACTGTCTAGAAGAAACTGAATTCAAATACAATTCTATAGTCAGGATGAAAGTAATAGAATAGGAAAAAATACATCTTGCCAACATTAATTTTTTACATTTTAATGTAAAAAAAGCAAGAGTGGCTATATAAATATCAAATAAGGTACACTTCAGAACACAGAAAAGTACCAACAAAGAGAAGAACATTATATAATAGGGGTTACTCCAAGAAGGCATAGCAGTCCTAAATGCATATATACCAGACAACGGAGCCACATATTATGTGAAGCAAAAACTGACAGAACTGAAGGATAGACAAATCCACGATTATAGCTGGTGACATCAACATACCTTTCTTGATAATTGAAACAATAACTAGACAGAAAATCAGCAAGAATATAAAAGAACTAAATAGCACATCAACCAACAAGATCTAATTGATATTTATAGAACACTTGACCCAACAAAGCCAATACACATTCTTTTCAAGTACCTATAGAACGTGTACCATATAACAAACAAACTTCAGCACATTTAAAAGAACTGAAATCACACAAGTATGTTCTCCAGCTGCAATGTAACCAAACTAGAAATCAATAAAAGAGGAAAAGAAATTTTCCTAACCCTTGTAAACTCAACAATACATTTGTAGGAAAATCTATGGGTCAAGGGGAGTCTCAGAGGAAATTTTTAAAAATACATTAAACCGAATGAAAGTAAAAATAAAACATATCAAAAATTGTGAGACACCAACTGAAGTAGTGCTAGGAAGGAAATACATAACACTAAGTACCCGACTCAGGGTTGCCACAACTGAGGTCTATACGGTCTATACGGTCTATAAATTAAGCAATTTATTGCTTAATTGTGATATTTGCTTTATTGTGGTGTTCTGGAACTGAACCTGCAGGATATCTGAGGTAGCCTGTCAGGGTAATGATTGCTTAACTCTGTGAATATACCAAAAATCACTGATTTGCACACTTGTATTTTGTGTTATATTAATTATATCTCAATAAATTCGCTATAAAAAATGAGCAAATAAAGTTTCCAAGACAATTGCAGTATAACCAGTAAGTTAAAAAATTAAACCAGGGGCACCTGGCTGGCTCAGTCCAAGGAGCATGGGACAATCTCAGGATTGCAAGCTTGAGCCCCATATTGAGGGTAGAGCTTACCTAAAAAAAAAAAAAAAGAAAGAAAAATAATTAAACCAGAAAAAAAAGATAGTAATAATACCAAATGTGTGTATGAAGGGCAATAGGGAGTAATACTACCATAAACACAACTCCTAATTCACTGGACACAAAAGTTTTTGAACATTTATGATTCCTGACAACTTGGAAAATTTGAGAAGGAACTGCATTGTTTTTAATTTTGTGCGTAATGTTAAAATTTATTAGTATTATACAGTACTATTATACAGAAAAATATTTTTTTCATATTTGCACAATTGAAATTTTCCCCAAAAGGCTATAGTATTTTCTTATGCAAGACATACACACACACACAGAAAGAAACAGACAGACTTGCCACGGTAAGTCTTTCTTTTTTTTTTTTAAAGTAGTATCCACACCCAGCATGGAGCCCAATGCTGGGCTTTAACTCATTACCGTCCGATCCAGACCTGAGCTGAAATCAAGAGTTGGATGCTCAACTGACTGAGCCACCCAGGTACCCCAATAAATAAAGTATTTCTTTTTAAAAATCAAGAATCCCTCAAATCCCATGGATTCAAGAGGATGTCTCCTGTGGACTATCTGCCAACTGGGTTATCCTTTTACTTTTATTCCATAAAAGGAGTATCATATGGGGTGCCTGGGGGGCAAATTTTTGATTATGTAAAGTGTCTCAAGATAAGTACCAAGTTTGGGGGCACCTGGGTGGCTCAGATGGTTGGGCGTCTGCCTTCGGCTCGGGTCATGATCCCAGGGTCATGGGATCGAGCCCCACATCGGGCTCCTGGCTCAGCGAGGAGCCTGCTTCTCCCTCTGCCTCTCCCCCTGCTCATGCTTTCTCTCTCTGAATCTCTGTGTCTCAAATGAATAAATGAGAATCTTTAAAAAAAAAAAAAAAAAGATAAGTACCAAGTTTGAAATTCTATGAGAGGACTTAAAATGTCTTTTTTTTTTTTTTTCCAGAGAGAGAAGGCAGGGAGGGGCAGAGGGAGAGGGAGAGAGAGAATCTTAAGCAGGCTCCATGCCCAGTGCAGAGCCCCACACAGGGCTCTATCTCACAACCCTGGCATCATGACCTGAGCCAAAATCAAGAGTCGGACACTTAACTGACTGAGCCACCCAGGCACCCAAGACTTAAATTTTCTTAAGGGCAAAACTGAATACCTGAACAAGGTCACAAACAGACACCAGAGGTTTAGACTTCATCGTATCTTTCAAGGGGACTTTATTCAACCCATAACAATTGCAGATTACAAGAATCTGTGAACTTGAGGACAGAGCAACAGATTTGCCCATCTGAACCTGAGAGAAAATAGGCTAAAAGAAAAAAAAAAAAAAAAGCCTCAGGGCCCCCCAGCTGTGTGTTTAAAAAAATAATGGCTGAAAATGTTTCCAAACTGACAAAAGACCAATCTAAATAGAAGACATTGATCAAACCCCCCAAAAATCTATGCCTAGACACATCACAATTAAACATCCAAAAGCTAAAGAAAAAAACCCTGAAAACAGCCATAAGGAAACAACACATCACCCACAGAACACCAGTTCGAATGACAGTGAATTTCTCATCTGAAATCATAGCGGCCAGAAGGAATCATCAAATCAAATTTTTTTTTACGATTTTTCATTTTTTTATGAGATGCACAAGCAGGGGGAGCTACAGAGGGAGAGGGAGAAGCAGGGCTCCCCACTGAGCAGGGAGCCTGATGCAGGGCTCCATCTCATGACCCTGAGATCATGACCTGAGCCAAAATCAAGAGTCAGACGCCTAACCAACTGAGCCACTCAGGCGCCCCAGGAATTGTCATATTTTTCAAATGCTCATAGGAAAATACTCTAAATTGTAAATTCTTCATCTGGTTTGAAATTCTCCAGCAGGCAAGAATGAAAAAGAAGTAAAGATATTCTCGCATGAAAGAAAACTAATAGAATTTGTTGTAAGGAGACCCACCATTGAGGAATGGCTAAAGAATAAACTCTCCTTTCCTCGTGAGTTTTATAAATCATATTTCAAGGTTAAAACAAAAATTAAAATACCATGTAGAGCAGGGACACTGAAGAGACCCCATGAAGGGCTCCTTCTGGCTCCTTATCCTGCTTCTATTCTTGCTAGGACCTGCACCCTTGCCCTACACACGCCATGTCCTCCTTATAAAGGTCAAGGAGTTAATGATTTCCTTGAAGTCTTCCAGCACTATAGGTAACTAAAGAGTGACCAGGCAGTGTCACATGTAGTATTCCAGACCAATGACTCACCACCAAGACTCCTGGCTCCAGAGCATAAGTGACTTAGGGAGGACACCTCAACAGGCTCTATCTGCTCTCTATGCCTTCAATGAACTGTTCTCAATTCCTCTCCACTTGAGTTTTGATTTCTATCCTGCGCAAAGTCAAGGACTCTATCGGCTGGTCCTGCAGGGGTCCCCCATCTGGGTCCTCAGACCCAGCTTGCCTACATCAATGTGATACTCAAGAGAATAATATTTAAAAGTAGGGAAAGGAAAAACAACTAAATGGAAGTAAGGTTTCCATGCTTCACACTAAGTGGTACAATGTTGACATAAGTCAACTGTGATAAACATTCAGTTACATACATATTATGATACTGGGAACAACTACTACAAATATTGACCCTACAGCTGTTAGAGGCAGTTGGTTAAGTTCTAGCAGGAGGCCTGGTGTCCAGTAAAGAGGAAGTCGTGGCCAGCTATCGGGAAAGTCAGAGGCCTATCTGGCAGTGCTTCAAATGAAGCCACAAAAAGCCGGATCAAACCAGACAGGCCCAAGATGACAGGTGCCATGACAGGAACTCCTGTCCATATAAGGAAGAAAAAGGCCAAAACCCTGCTTTGGAAAAATCCCCTCCTCAAGTAATGAATATTCTCCCCCTTGTTAACAACTGTCAATAAATGTTAGAAACCCAAACCCCAGGAGGGCACACAATGCTCCTTCTCTAGAACTTACCAGCTCTCCTACCTCGAGAGTGTACTTTCGCTTTAATAAACTTTCCCACTTGTGACCCTCAGCTGCTGTGTTGTATCTGTCTCTTTCTCTGGAGAACTCTAATACACCAGGTACATCATATCCATACTTCAATAAAAATGAAAGGTATACTAAAAGACAAAAAAAAAAAAAAAAGACAGTTTGAAAAGAAAGCATCAGAGCCAGACTCAGATATGGCAGGAATGTTGGTATTATGAGACTGAGAATTTGAAATTATGACTACTGGGGCACTTGGATGGCGCTGTCGGTTAGGCATCCGACTTTTGGTTTCAGCTCTGGTCTGAGCTCATTCTGCACACAACGCAGAGTCTGCGTTAACACTCTTTCTCCCTCGGGGCGCCTGGGTGACTCAGTCGTTAAGCATCTGCCTTCAGCTCTGGTCAGGTCCCAGGGTCCTGGGATCGAGCCCCACATCTGGCTCCCTGCTCAGCGAGAAGCCTGCTTCTCCCTCTCCCACTCCCCCTGCTTGTGTTCCCTCTCTCGCTGTGTCTCCCTCTGTGAAATAAATAAATAAAATCTTAAAAAAAAAGGACTCTTTCTCCCTCTCCCTCTGTCCCTCCCCCCGCACGCTCTCTCTCTCAAATAAATCTTTAAAATAAAATTATGATTACTATGTTAAGAGCACTAATGGAAAAAATGAACAACATGCAAGAACAGATAAGAAATGTAAGCAGAGAATGGAAATTCTAAGAAAGAATCAAAAACAAATGCTAGGGCGCCTGGGTGGCTCAGACGGTTAAGCGTCTCCCTTCGGCTCAGGTCATGATCCCAGAGTCCTGGGTTCGAGTCCCACATCGGGCTCCCTGCTCAGTGGGGAGCCTGCTTCTCCCTCTGCCTCTCTCTCTCTCTGTCTTATGAATAAATAAAATCTTCAAAAAAAATTAAAAAAAACAAATGCTAGAAATCAAAAACACTGTGAAAGAAATGAAGAATGCCTTTTATGGGTTCATCAAGAGATGAGATGGCTGAGGAAAGGATCAGCAAGCTTAAAGAAATGTCAATAAAAACTTCCAAAACTGAAATGCAAAGAGAACAAAATAAAACAATATCCAAGAACTGTAGGACAATTACAAAAGTGTAATATCCAGGGGCGCCTTGGTGGCTCAGTCATTAAGCGTCTGCCTTCGGCTCAGGTCATGATCCTGGGGTCCTGGGATCAAGCCCCGCGTCGGGCTCCCTGCTCAGCGGGAAGCCTGCTTCTCCCTCTCCCACTCCCCCTGCTTGTGTTCCTGCTCTCGCTATCTCTGTCTCTGTCAAATAAATAAATAAAAATCTTTAAAAAAAAGTGTAATATCCAATAAAGTAAACTTCAGAACAAAGAAAATTACTAGAAACAAAGAGGAATATTACATAATGATAAAAGAAGGAATGTAACAGAAAGACGTAACATTTAGAAATCCTAAATGTATATGAACCAACCAGGAGAGCCTCAAAATACATAAAACATAAAAATACAATAAAGCTAAAAAAATCATAATTACAATTGGAAACTTCAATACCACAAACTCAGCAATTGATAAAACAGACAAAATTCATAACTATAAAGCTCCCAAAAAAGACAACTCCAGATCCAGATTTGGAGAATCTACCAAACATTAAAAGAATAATTAATATCAATTAGACATTCTTTAAAAAAACAGAAAGGCACTCCCCAACTATTTTAATAAAGTTAATATTAGCCTGATACCAAAACCATACATACAGTGCAGAAAAAAAACAATAGACCAATACCTCTCATCAATTTACACACAAAAATCTGCAACAAAATACTAAGAAACCCAATCCAATCGTGTATAAAAAGTACCACACACCATGACCAAGACAGATTTATTCCAAGGGGTGAGGTTCGTTAAACATTTAAAAATTCATAATGTGGGGGCTCTGGCTGGCTCAGTCGGTAGAGCATGCCACTCTTTATCTTGGGGTCCTAAGTTCAAGCCCCACGCTGGGCCTAGAGCTTCCTTAAAAATCAATCAATCAGGGGCGCCTGGGTGGCTCAGTCGTTAACTGTCTGCCTTCGGCTTGGGTCATGATTCCAGGGTCCTGGGATAGAGCCCCACATCAGGCTCTCTGCTCAGTGGGAAGCCTGCTTCTCCCTCTCCCACTCCCCCTGCTTGTGTTCCCTCTTTCGCTGTCTGTCAAATAAATAAATAAAATCTTAAAAAAAAAATCAGTCAGTGGGCGCCTGGGTGGCTCAGTCATTAAGCGTCATCATAATGTAATCCACCATATAAACAGGCTAATGAAGAAGACTCATGTGCTCATATTACAAATGTAGAAAAACCATTTAACAAAATCTAACATCTGGACAAACTCCAAACAAGTCAGAAATAGAAAGTGTGCAGAAAAGGGTTAATATGGCAAGCCTGAGATTAATATTCTCAGGAAGGCCTGCTTTCAAGGCCTGTTGCTGGCACCTGGGAACTTGGATTTCAGGAGTGTTTCATCTTTCCCCGATAAGACTGTCTCACTGTGCCTAAACTGTTTGTTCAGACAATATGCCTTATCCTGAAAATGTGCCTTCCTTCTGAGAAGCTGGAATTTGGGTTTGTGCTAGGGACAATACCTTGGGCCCTGAGTCTTTGATGAGTTTCACTGGTAGGCAATACTTCACATGCACTGTCACAATTTGGTGCTGGAAGAATCACACGCATCCTGTGTGACTCCACTGGGAAAGGACTTGTGGAAGCTTTCGTCAGCTTTCCACTGGACTTTGCCCATCCATGCCTACACATTTTGCTGATTTTGCCTTATCTCTTTTCACTGTAATAAATCTTAGCCACGAATAGGACTATATGCTGAGTCCTGTGAGTCCTCCAAATAAATCACCAAATCTAGGGGTCCTGGGGACACCCAATACAGAAGGAAATTACCTCAGTCTGGTAAAGAGAATCTATTAAAAAATCTACAGCTATCATCATACTTTTTTCTTATTTTTTGTAATTTAACTGACAGAGACAGTGAGACAGCTAGAGAAAGAACACAAGCAGGAGGAGTGGGAGAGGGAGAAACAGGCTTCCCGCCAAGCAGGGAGCCTGATGCGGGGCTCGATCCCAGGACCCTAGGATCATGACCTGAGCTGAAGGCAGCCGCTTAACCAACTGAGCCACCCAGGTGCCCCGCTATCATCATACTTAATGTTGAAAGACAGTCCTTTTGCCCTAAGATCAGGAACAAGTGGAGATGTCTACTCTCACCACTCTTATTCAGCATAGTACTGGAAGTTCTAGTCACTGCAATGAGCAAAAGGGGGAAAAAAACATTCATAACACTTTTACTCATAATAAAATACTGGAAACAGCATAGCTTAATGGGTAAACAAACTGCAGTACATCCAGGCCACAAAATAATACTCAGCAATTAAAAAGAATAAATTATTGATACGCACAAAAACATGGTTAAATGAATCTTCAGGCAATTATGCTGAGTGAAAAAAGCCAATTCTAAAAGGTTATACATTTTATGATTCCATTCATGTAACATTTTTTAAGTGACATTTTAGAAATGGAGAACCCATTATTGATTGGCAGGCACTAGAATGAGGAGATCCAGAAGGGAGGGAGATGTGGTTATAGAAGAGAAACACAGAACCCCTGTGGTGATGGAACTGCTCTGTACCTTGACAGGGTGGTGGATACACGAACCCACACATGTGATAAAACTGCGCAGAACTCAATACACATACACATAAATGAGGACAAATAAAACTGAGAAACTTTAAACTGGTGGATTGTATCAATATGATAATTTTCCTGGACAATACTGTACTACAGTTTTGCAAGATGTTACCACTGGGGGAGGCCAGGTACAGGGGACACCTGATCTGTGTTATTAAAATCGCATCTTAGGGGAGCCTGGGTGACTCAGTCAGTTGGGCGTCTGCCTTCGGCTCAGGTCGTGATCTCGGGGTCCTAGGATCAAGTCCCATGTCAGGCTCTCTGCTCACCAGGGAGTATGCTTCTCCCTCTCCCTCTCCATCTGTGCTCTCCCTCCCTCTCTCTCTCAAATAAATAAAATCTTTTTAAAAATTTAAAAAAATAAAAATGTAAAACTATCTTACAATCTATAATTATCTCAATGAACATTTCAATTAAACCAAAAATTTACATAGGTATTAAGTATGGGACACCTTACCCATTTCATATTCATATTAAAATCATTAATTCAAAATTATATGTTATTAAGCAAATATATGTTTCCTACTATAATGTTCAGTTCCAATAAGCAAACCAATCATGCAAAATTGTGGCTCAGTTGGTTGGGCATCTGCCTTCAGCTCAGGTCATGATCCTGGGATCGGGTCCCGTGTTGAGCTCCCTGCTCGATGGGGAGCCTGCTTCTCCCTCTGCCTCTCTCTCTCATGAATAAAAAAAAATTTTTTTTAATCTCTCTTATATAAGATATATACTCCTCCAAAAAAAAAAGCCTCCATATTTTTTTTTACTACTGTTACATTATAAATCTTCAAAATTTTAATAAGGTTATCAAATACCAATTATTTTGCTGTTCAATGAAATGCCACTTCTGGGCAAAAGCTTTCTCCTATTTAATGGGTTCCCCACCTCAGCCCTGGGCTGTTTCTGCTACACAATGAGTCTGACAAGAAGGTGAAGGTTTCTGAGTTTTCAGAATGTTGACAGTGGTTTCTTCTCAGTGTTGTTTCTCTGGGGTTCAGTGAGGTCAGGATTCTGGCAAGTGGTTCCAGTATAGTCCTGGGGTTACCCTACCCCCTAGTGCGTATTCGCTGATGTGTTGTCAGGGATGGCTTCTGGTGAAAGGTTTTCCCACATTCACTATGTTCAAAGGGTTTCTCCCCTGTGTGGGTTCTCTTGATGTACTGTGAGGGTCGATTTGTGGTAAAAAGTTGTCCCACATTCGTGACATTTATGAGGTTTCTCTCCTATGTGTGTTCTCTGATGTTCTCTCAGTTTTGACTTCGGAGGATTTTCCACATTCATTACATTCATAGGGTTTCTCTCCTGTGTGAGTTCTGTGATGATTAATGAAGTTTGGCTTCTGGGAGAAAGTTTTCCCACATTCCTTACATTCATCAGGTTTCTTCCCAGTATGTATTCTCTGATGTACAGTGAAGGCTAACCTATTACTGGAGGCTTTCTGACAAACATTACACTCATAGGGTTTTTCCTGTGTGTGTTCTCTGATGCACTGCGAGGCCTGACATTTATCTGAAAGTTTTCCCACATTTGGTGCATAGGGTTTCTCCTGTGTATCCTTTAATGTAGTGAGAGATGATTCATGGCTGAAAGTGGGAATGTTCATGACATTCATAGAGTTTTTCTCCTATATATGTTTTCTGACCCACAGGAAGCTTTGGCTTCTTGCAAAATGTGCCAGCATATTAATTTTACAGGCTTTCCTTTCTGTATGTGTTTCTTCATGCTGAATGAAATTTGGCTTCTTGCAGAATACTTCCCAATCTTCATTACAGTCAAAAGTTTCCTCTCCTTTACAAATTCATTGCAGTGACTACTTACTGAAACTATTCTCACTTTCAACACACTCATAGTATTTCTTTCCCATGATAACTCGACTATGCTTAGAGTTGACTTCTCACCAACAGACCACTTCCCACAGTCATTAAATTCACAGGGATTCTCCTTTATATGAGTTCCCTAATGAAGTGAATGCTGGTCTATCAGAAATGGCTTTCATATATTCATTATATTCATAGGGCTTCCCCCATGAGCATGTTCTCTTATGCACAATGAAAGTTGCTCCCTCAGGACGCCTGGGTGGCTCAGTCAGTTAAACCACTGCCTTAGGCTCATGTCATGATCCCAGGTGATGATCTCAGCAGGGAGCCTGCTTCCCCCTCTGCCGGCAGCTCTCCGTGCTTGTGCTCTCCCTCCCTCTCCCTCCCTCTCTCTCTCTCTCTGGCAAATAAGTAAATAAAATAAAATAATGTTGCTCCCTCATGGAAGGCTTTCCCACATTCCTTACATTCAAAAAGCTGCTTCAGAGTTTAAATATACTGATGTTGAAACAGGTCCTCATTTTGACCAATAGCTTTTCCATTTTCGTCATATTCAAAAGGTTTCTCTCCAGAATGAAAATTCTGCTTTTACAGAGGAGCAATTTCCCGTGTGCATTAAACTCTTCAAGCTTCCTTACAAAGAAGTTTCTATTACTAATAATTACTTCTGAAATAAAATTCAAAACTCATTCCATATGAGTCACATATACTCGATATTTTTCTTGCAGAACAGAGTTTGTGCTCAGATAAAATGATTTTCCTAATACACTATTTCTCTCCTCAGTCAGTGTTTTGTTGTTGACAAAATCGACTTCCCACAAATACTGCTCTTGCTTTTCCTGGCTCTTCCCCAACAGGTCAACTATGCAAAAGTGTAGAAATAAAAATAATTTACCACAGTTTATAAGTAGTAAGGTATTTCTTATGAAAAGATGACATATTTTTATGTCTTTTATACCCCAGTCTTTTGCTGTGAAAGTAATCCAAGGGCATACTGCCTCATTCCCGTAGGTTTGGATAAAATAAATAACTTGCAGTAGTGGAAAATGGGCAATCTGGCAACAAAACATAATTTGGCACTTCAAAATGTTTACTGCAGTGATCATTTTGCAATATATACAAATAATGAATCATTATGTTATACACCTGAAAGCAATATAATATTGTATGTCAATTACACCTCAATTTTTAAAAATGTGATATTCAGGGATGCCTGGCTGGCTCAATCAGTGAAGCATGTGACTCTTGACCATGTTGGGGGGTATAGAGATTACTTTTTAAAAATATTTGAAAGGGGCACCTGGGAGGCTCAGTCGTTAAGCGTCTCCCGTCGGCTCAGGTCATGATCCCAGGGTCCTGGGATCGAGCCCCACATTGGGCTCCCTGCTCGGCGGGAAGCCTGCTTCTCCCTCTCCCACTCCCCCTGCTTGTGTTCCCCTCTCTAGCTGTCTTTCTCTGTCAAATAAATAAAATCTTAAAAAAAAAAAAGTTTAAAATGTGACATTAAAAAATGGATAGAGAATTTGAAATAAACACAAACAATAAATACAAAATGTTTGGATAACTGCTTGATTCTGGGATGGGGATCCCCCCAAGGAATAGAATCAACCCAACAACTCAACAAACAGGAAGTAGAATCACAAGGCAAATTAACAGACAATGATGGTGAGGGGAGACATCAAAGGAACAATTAGATGTGGAACAATCAGATCGGGATCTAGTCCGTTATCTCCTGAAACAAGAGCCTTACTAACATACATGCTTACAATGTCATCCCGTCTTTTCTAGTCCATATGACAACACCAAATTAGATTTCAGAAAGTACTCATTTCCATTAGACTTAAAAGGAAAACTCGATTGCCTAGGCTATATTTGCATTCTTGCTGGGACTCACAAAGAATACTAATTTCCAAACAAGTATACATTCAAGCTGCTCTTATAAAAGGATCAGATGCACATCTTTATTTGTCTACAATGTCATCATCTAAAATTTACAGTCTATTTCACTTATAAATGAATTACACCATCATTTAGATCTAGAGTGCTTCTGTCTCTTTACATTTATCTTCTGATTTTGTCTAATAACTATGAAGTCTTCTCGTGTCAGCTTTCTGATTTTTGCAATTAAGGCAAAAAACAAAAATTCTGGGGGCGCCTCGGTGGCTCAGTTGGTTAAGCCACTGCCTTCGGCTCAGGTCATGATCCTGGAGTCCCGGGATCAAGTCCCGCATTGGGCTCCCTGCTCAGCGGGGACTCTGCTTCTCCCTCTGACCCCTCTCTTGTGCTCTCTCTCTCTCTCAAATAAATAAAAAAGAAAAGAAAACAAAAATTCTGAATTCTCAATTTTGTTCAATGAAAACCAAAAAAAAAAGAGGGACGCCTGGCTCAGTCAATGAAATGTGCGATTCTTGATCTTGGGATTATGAGTTCAGCCCCCATGTTGGGTGCTGAGATTACTTAAAAATAAAATATTAAAAAAAAAAAACAGGGCACCTGGGTGGCTCAGTTGGTTAAGGGACTGCCTTCGGCTCAGGTCATGATCCTGGAGTCCCTGGATCGAGTTCTGCATTGGGCTCTCTGCTCAGCAGGGAGTCTGCTTCTCCCTCTGACCCTCTTCCCTCTCGTGCTCTCTATCTCTCATTCTCTCTCCCTCTCAAATAAATAAATAAAATCTTTAAAAACAAACAAACAAACAAACAAACGAATAAGGCGTCTTCAGACTTCTTTCATAACTTCATCAAAACTAATTCAATACTTCAGGGAACTCAGTAAGAAAACTGAAGGATGATATAGCAGTGAAGGTTTACTTTACTGTTACATTAACCTTCTAAGAAATTGCATCATTCTTCTATTTTCTTATATTTTAGTCTAGTTTAGCACTGTTGGACATAATTGATGAGTAATGTTAAAATAACTGTTAGGGTGATAAAATAGCAAAACATTTCAAAATACATTAAAATAAGATCATTGCAATCCTGCTTCTTAGATTTATACAAGAGACCAAGTCACCCATATAGAAACTGCAAGACAGAATGAATTTATTTGGTTAAAAAATATAAGTAAATTTTCTTTGTTCATTTAAAATTTTAAATTTTATCTTTGTTCATTTAAAATTTTATTTTAACTTATAGTTATAAAAAATTATGAAATCCAGGGGCGCCTGGATGGCTCAGCCGGTTAGGCAGCTGCCTTTGGCTCAGCTCATGATCCCAGGGTCCTGGGATTGAGTCCCATGTCGGGCTCCCTGCTCAGCGGGAGGCCTGCTTCTCCCTCTCCCTCTGCCCCTACTTGTGTTCCTTCTCTTGCTGTCCCTCTCTCTGTCAAATAAATAAATAAACCCTTTAAAAAAAGTATGAAATCCATAACATATCAATCCTTGCAAATAGTTAAAACTGCTTCAAAAAGAAACTCAAAAACTAAAATTGGGGGGGGCGCCTGGGTGGTTCAGTTGGTTAAGCATCCAACTCTTGATTTCGGCTCAGGTCATGATCTCAGGGGTTGTGAGATGAAGCCCCCCATCAGGCTCTGCGCTCAGCAGAGTGTCTGCTTGAGATTCTCTCCCTCTCCCCCACCCCACCACTCATGCTCTCCCTCTCTCTAAAAGAAAAAAATAAAATAATTTTAAAAATTTAAAAAGCCCATCTCCAGTTTCTCCCTGGAAAGGGCCTTACTACATACTTTCCCAGCTGCTGCCTGATGGATCAGCTTCCAGCCAGCCTGCATCTAGGTGCTGACTGAGATCCCTGTTTTGGTACACTGATAGGTCTTGGCATGCCTTCAACTACCAGGAGCCACTAAAAACAAAGAAGGTGGCTTGGACAAGCACAAAGGTCTGAGAGACAGCTGGTGAGGCTGTGGAGAAAAGAGAATCTGTGTGTACTGTTGGAAAAATTAATTGGTGCACCCACCATGGAAAGCAGTATGGAAGTTGCTCAAAAAATGAAAAATAAAACTATCATATGACCCAGCAATCCCACTTCTGGATACATATCCAAAGGAAAAGAACACAGGATATCGAAGACAAATCTGCACTCTTATAATCACTGTAGCATTATACACAATAGCCAAGATATAAAACAATCTAAGCTGTCCATCAACAGATGAATGGACAAAGATGTGGTGTATGTGTATATATATGTATATATATATATACATATATATATATATACACACACATACACTATCTATCCACTGTAGATTATGATTCAGCCATGAGAAAGAAAGAAATCCCCCTATGTGGGACAAGATGGATGGGCTATGAAATCATTATTATGCTGGATGAAATAAGTCAAAGACATACTGCACAGTATCACTTATATATGGAATCTTAAAAAAAAAAGTCAAACTCATAGAAACAGAAGGTAGAAAAGTGACTGCCAGGTGCTGACCGGTAGTGGAAATAGGGAGAGTTTGGTAAAAGGTTACAAATTTCCAGCTGTAAGATGAATGAAGTCTGAGGATCTAATGTATAACAGGGTGCCTACAGTTGATAACACTATACTGTACACTGAAATTTGCTAAGAGAGGAGAACTTAAATGTTCTCACAAAACAGTAAAAAAATAAATAAATATATGAGGTAACAAATTTAATAAATAATTAATTAGATGGGGGAATCCTTTCACAATGTGTATGTATATCAAATCATCACAATTTACACTTTTTGTTGTTGTTCAATTTTTTTTTTTTCAGTAATCTCTACACCAAACAAGGGGCTCAAACTCATGACCCTGAGATCAAGAGTCACATGCTCTTCCATAAGCCAGCCAGGATCCCCTACACTTTAAATATCTTACAATTTTATTTGCCAACTATACCTCAATAAAACTGAACAAATTAAAAAATAAAATAAATGAAACTAACAGTTTTCTAGCTTACTAGAAATACTGGAACATAGGACCATTAAAAGACTGAAATTTAATCCTAAGATTATGAAATGCTTCTCTCTCGACAACTTCCCACCACATCAACAGGCTCCACGGCAATAACACTAGATCACAGATGAAAAAGCTGAACAGTTTCAAGACACAGGAGTACACAGGGAAGCCCAAAGTCAAGAGGGGAGTCAAAAACAAGGACATTAAAGGAATTTGGAGACTCTGAGCCCTACAGCTACAACATTAAACACAGCCCATCTCCTAGCCAGAATCACAGAAATCCTCACACTAAAAACCCATTTATCTCAGTTCTTTTACAAGATACATGTCCAGCTTTGGAAAAAAAATTGCAAAGCATATCAAAAAGAAAAAAACACACCCAGAAGACACGAAGTAATCATCAGAACAAGACTCAGATACAACACAGATGCTGGAATTATGAGAGCAAGTTTTAAATAACTATGATTAATATGCTAAAGAGTTAAATGAAAAAAATTAGACAACATTCAAGAATAAATGAGTTACATAAGCAGGGAAAGAAAAATTCCAAGAAAAAATCAAAAGGAAATGCTAGAATTCAAAACCACAGTAATAGAAATGAGGAATGCCTTTGAAGGGCACATCACACAACAAACCAAGGAAAGAACCAGTGAACTTGAAGAGAGGTCAACAAAATTCACTAACTAAAATGTGAAGAGAAAAAGAATAAAAAAACTGAACATCCATCCAAGAGCTGTGGGACAACATCAAAAGGTATAATATATGCATAAGTAGAATACCAGAAGAACAGAGCAGAGGGAATAACTGAAGCAATAATGACCAAAAAATTCCAAAATTAAGGACAGATCCAGGAAGCTCAGACAATACCAAGCGGGATAAATACCAACAAAACCACATCTAGTCATATGGTATTTAAACTCCAGAAAACCAGGGGCGCTTGGGTGGCTCAGTCGTTAAGCATCTGCCTTCGGCTTGGGTCATGGTCCCAGGGTGCTGGGATTGATCCCCGTATCAGGCTCCCTGCTCGGCGGGAAGCCTGCTTCTCCCTCTCCCACTCCCCCTGCTTGTGTTCCCTCTCTCGCTGTGTCTCTCTCTGTCAAATAAATAAATAAAATCTTAAAAAAAAAAAAAACTCCTGAAAACCAAAGACAAAGGGGAAAATCCTGAGAGAAGCAAGGAAGTGGAGAGTGGGGAGTGGGGGGTATGCACCTTACCTACAAAGAAACAACGATAAGAATTACAACAGGCTTCTCAGAATCCATGCAAGCAAGAAGAGTGGAATTAAATACCTAAAGCGTTGAAAGAAGAAAGCCACCAACCTACAATTAATGAAAAAAGATGCACTGAGGCATACATTTATATAATACTGAATAACAAGGATAAACTCTTACAAGCCTCCAGATGAAAGAACTGACTCACAAAGTAAAGAGATTTATCCCAACTTCAGATTTCTCCTCTGCAGTGGTGAAAACAAAAAGACAATGAGATTATGAGAAAAGAATTTCAATCTAGAAATCTTATACACAAATAAATTGCCTTTCATATGACGGGCCCCAAACCAGATGTGTTCAAATGGGAAGCGCCTCAAGGAATAAATCGCCTATGTTACCTCCACAGAGAAAACACTGAGGAAGTACAAATAAACTGTTAAACAAGTCTCAAGCAAGGGGAAGTTGAAAAGGAAAGGAAGGAGTGGGAAACAACAGATCTTGTTAGTGATATACAGCTACAACTAGATGGATAATATCAACATGATTTGAAATGTACAACACAGGGGCACCTGGGTGGCTGTTGATTAAGCCTCCCAAATCTTTTTTTTTTTTAAAGATTTTATTATTTATTTGACAGAGAGAGAGTGAGAGAAGGAACAAAAGCAGGGGGAGAGGGAGAGGGAGAAGCAGGCTTCCCCACAAAGCAGGGAGCCCGACGCAGGGCTCGATCCCAGGACCCTGGGATCATGACCTGAGCCAAAGGCAGACGCTTAACGACTGAGCCACCCAGGTGCCCCATCTTTTTTTTTTTTTTTTAAGATTTTATTTATTTATTTGACAGACAGAGAGACAGCAAAAGAGGGAACACAAGCAGGGGGAGTGGGAGAGGGAGAAGCAGGCTTCCAGCTAAGCAGGGAGCCTGATGCGGGGCTCGATCCCATGACGCTGGGATCATGACCCGAGCCAAAGGCAGACAGACACTCAACGACTGAGCCACCCAGGCGCCCCTAAGCCTCCAACTCTTGATCTCAGCTCAGGTCTTGATCTCAGGGTTGTGAGTTCAATCCCCCCTTTGGGCCCCATGCTGGGTGTGGAGCCTACTTGAAATGTACAACATAATGTTAAAAAAGACCTCTTGAAACAGAGATTGTCCATAGGGAAGAACTAATAATATACTGATAAATTAACAAAATGAAGGAGTCTGGGTGTGGGGTAGGGTGGACTAAAGCTTTCTAAGGTCGTCTAAGAGGAGCTGGAGGAGGAGTAGCAATCACTGCAGCACGAAGCAGCAGAAAAGCAATGAAGTAATCCTGATATGTTAGTAGATATACACTCAGTTATAATATTCAGGAGGAAGTTGGTAACTGTGAGAATTAAAAATCAGAAGTCTACCAAATTAACATAAAAAAATTAAATACTAAGATATTTGAACAAGCCAGATTCTGAAAATATATAATTAATAGCACAAAATTATGATATATGTGACACTCAAATATAATATTTAGCAAACTAAGGTGGATATATAAAACAAAATATATGGATTACTGCAGAAAATGTGAATGGATATATTTCTTTTTTTTAATTATATATATATATTTTTTAAGATTTTATTTGTTTGTTTATTTATTAGAGAATGACAGCGAGCACAAGCAGGAAGAGAAGCAGGCTTCCCGCTGAGCAGGGAGCCCAATGCGGAACTCGATCCCAGGACCCTGGGATCATGATCTGAGTCGAACGCAGCCGCTTAACCTGAGCCAACCAGGCATCCCAAGTGGATATATTTCTTATCCAAGACAGACTGACATAATGGTCTAAAAAACCAAAATGTTGACATTTGTTATTTATAAAAAATAAATCTCAAAATGATAAAAAATGGTGAAAAATGAACAAAATTTTATAAGAAAATGCAAATAAAAGGGAAGCAAGCATGGCCTTAGTTACATCAGATAAAGTAGAATTTGCAGCCTTAACTTTCAATGGGGCAAAGGCAAATATCATGTAATGATAAATGGTAAAAATTAATCAAGGTTTGGGGCGCCTGGGTGGCTCAGTCGTTAAGCGTCTGCCTTTGGTTCCGGTCATGATCCCAGGTTCTGGGATCGAGCCCCACATCAGGCTCCCGGCTCCACAAGAAGCCTGCTTCTCCCTCTCCCATTCCCCCTGCTTGTGTTCCCTCTCTCACTGTGTCTCTCTGTCAAATAAATAAATAAAATCTTTAAAAAAAAAAAATTAGGGGCGCCTGGGTGGCTCAGTCGTTAAGCGTCTGCCTTTGCTTCAGGTCATGATCCCAGCGTCCTGGGATCGAGCCCCGCATCGGGCTCCCTGCTCCGCGGGAAGCCTGCTTCTCCCTCTCCCACTCCCCCTGCTTGTGTTCCTGCTCTCTCTGTGTCTCTCTCTGTCAAATAAATAAATAAAATCTTTTAATAAAAAAAAATTAATCAAGGTTTAAGTCAAACTTGTATGTATCCAAATAAAGAAAAACTGCTAGAATTACAGAATAATTTGGTTAAAGAAAACAAACCACAATTACAGTGAGAGACAATATATCTCTACCAATAAAAAAATATATCTATTAAATATAGTTTATTTAACTCTTGTGTCAGGTAATAATACTGACAGGTAAAATTCAATAGACAC